ATTCCATTTACATGAAATCCAAGAGCAGACAGAAGTGATCTGCGGTGACAGAAATCAGAAAGTGCTTGCCTGGGAAGCGAGGAGGAGAATAGACTAGAAAAGGGCACAAGGGAACTTGCTGGGTGGATGGAAATGTTCTATTTCTTGTTTGGGTGGTATTTACATGAGTATATTCAATTGTTAAAATTTATTGAACTAAATATCTAAGATCTGTGCACATTATTCTATGTTAATTGTATGTTAGTAAAAAAACATTTGCAGAAAGGAGATGTTCAAAAGAAGGGTTAAGCCTGTAGGTTTAGCCATCAATTTACAGGAAACACAAAGAACAGAGGAACATATAAAATGACACCACAGAGGGGCCGGCCCGGTGGCGCAGTGGTAAAGTGCGCATGTTCTGCTTCAGCGGCCGGGGGTTCACCGGTTCGGATCCAGGGTGCGGACATGGCACTGCTTGTCAAGCCGTGCTGTGGTAGGCGTTCCACATATAAAGTAGAGGAAGATGGGCACAATGTTAGCTCAGAGCCAGTCTTCCTCAGCAAGAAGAGGAGGATTGGCAGCAGTTAGCTCAGGGCTAATCTTCCTAATAAATAAATAAATAAATAAAATGACACCACAGGGATGCAGTCAACAAATTTTGACTGTGGGAAACTCTACAGTTTAGCCAATTTTTTCCAAAAAATAAAAGCTTGCAGAGGAGGAACTTAGATATTCACAGAGATTTAAGAGACATGTCAGTCAATCACATGGCATGAAGCCTGTGTGGATCCAAATTTAAACAAACTGTCTAGAGGAAAGGTTTATAGGACAATTGAAAAAGTGTAAACACGTGCAGATATTTGATAATATTAAAGAATTGTTATTTTTAAAGTGAGATAATGGTAATGTTTTGATTTTGTTTGCTGGTTTTAAGTGACTTTATCTTTTAGAGATTTGTAGTGAAATGCAAATGATACGATGTCTAAGGATAGTGTGGGGCAATGGGCGGCGCTGGGGACACGGATGAAACAAGGCTGGCGTGTGTTGATGATTGTTGAAGCTGCGTGTAGCGTTCCCTGGGTTTACTATTCTAGTCTCTCTTCTTTTTTATATGTTTGAAATTTCCCATAATAAAACACTTTTTTAAAAAAAAAAAAGAGTTGGAAGGAAAAATACAGGAAGTCTCTCAGAAAAAGAATGATAAAAGACAAAGAGATGGAAAATAGGAGCACAAGATAAGAAATGTAAAGGATAAATTCAGGATTCTCAAAAACAGAGAGGAAAGAAAACGGAAGGGAGAAAATGATCAGAGAAATGAGAAAATTTCCCAGTGCCGATAGCTGCTGGTTTCTGGATTGAGAGGCCAGTAAGTAGCCAGCACTGTGGAAGAAAGAGCCCCACGCAAAGTCCCTCCTGGAGAGATTTCATAAGGTTGCTTTCCTGGGCCGCAGACCAGAGCCCTCACACACATTCTTATAATCCTCCGCTGCCTCCTTCTCTCTTGGACGGCGCCCTGTGGGCACCACTTCTAGGCTGGCTTGCTCCCACACTTTCAGAATTGGTTGAAATATCACACTGTGGGATGCGGGACCTGGTTTCCAGGAGCTGCTGAGGGTCTGGATGCCGTATCTGGAAATATAGACAAGTTAGCTTTGGGGTAATCTTGACTAATGGAAATGGGAGATGGGAGGCAGCTAGGCAGCTAGATTCGCCCCGGCTGCTCTCTCCTCTGGTTCCTCCTTGTGACCCTTCCCGAAGAGTCTCTTGTGCCTGATGAACCAGGCGCTAGTCTGGTAACGCCTGGCATCACCCCCACTTCCCTCACTCCTTTTTCCCTCAACATTCTATAACGAAAACTTTCAAATATACAGGAAAGTTAAAAGAATTTCACAGTGGGCACCTGTATATCCACCACCTAGAGTTGACATTGACATTTTAATCAGTTTTATTGAGATATAATTTAAATACCAGAAAATTGACCCATTTAAAGTGTACAATTCAGTAGTTTTCACTATATTCACAGAGACATGCAAACATTATCACAATTTTAGAATATTTTATTCACTCGCAAAAGAAACCGCATACCCTTTAGCAGTCACTTCCATTCTGCCTCTCCCAGCCCTAAGCAACCTCAAATCTGCTTTCTGGCTCTGTGGAATTGCCTATTTTGGGCATTGCATATAAACGGAATCATACAATAAGTAGTCTTTTGTGACTGGCTTCTTTCACTCAGCCTCATGTTTTCAGGGGTCTTCTATGTTGTGGCGTGTATCAGCACTTCATTCCTTTTTATGGCCAAACACTCTTCCATTGTATATTATTAACGTTTTAGTAGATTCGCTTTATTGGGTGTCTGCTCCTCTATTCATCCCTCTATTGACCCATTAATCTGTCTTATATCCTTTGTGTATTTCCAGGTAAGCTCACTTCCCTTTTTCCCCACCCTCAGCAGCTTTGCCTTGCACACCTCTCAAATAAAACTCACATCGTGTGGCCACCTGGGTGCACAGGAGGCTGGAGGTGGAGTACTCAGCCTCTGGCCTCCGTAGTAGAGGGATACAAGGGAAAAGGGAGTCTGGGGATGGACTTTTCTACCTTGGCATACAGCGTTTCTCAATCTCATCCCTGTCTGCCCCTCCAGTCTCCCCTCCCACTATTGCATCCCACAGATCTTAAATTCCAGAAATACCAAATTCTTTAAAGTTCCCGAACGCCCCACATTTTTTCTGACTCCATCTCTTGCACATGCTCATTACCTGGATAGTCTTCTCTATGAGACAGATTCTTCCCACATGTCTCAGCTCAGCCTTCGCTCTTCAGTGAACACACACACCCCCCCACTCTGGCCTCCCTGTGCTTGTTTTGCACTCCCATTCTGGCATTTATCCTACTTTACTGAATTAACCTTTTGACCTGTCTGTCTCCACCAGCCTATAAATCCTCAAGAGCAGGGGCCGGGCCTTACATGTTTTGGTGTCCCTAGAACTCACTGCAGGACACAGCTCAATAAATATTTGTTGGATAGTGAACAGAAAACATCTCGTTACCATCTTTACTGTTGTTTTGTTGGGCATGCACTAAGTGAGGCCCTGTGGTCAGTACCTGGTTTGCAAACGAAGATGAGTAAGTCTATATCCTGGGCTTCCAAGGAGCCTACAGAACCCTTTTGTCTGGGCAGATGCAAAACCGGACAAGACATCAGGACAACAGATGTAAACCGGGACTGTCCCAGGCAAACCGGAACATATGGTCATCCAAATTATATACCAGGTTCTATGAAAACAGCAATGCCACACTGACTCATGCCCAGCCTGTCAGACCCCGGTCGCTTCCAGAATCTTCTTGCACAGGCCAATTACTCTTCGTTGGGTCTTGAGTCATTTATTTTCTTCGTTGTTGTTATCCATGTAAAGATTATCCATGAAATTTAATATTCCTAAGGCATTACACACACTGTGCACATAAAAAACATATACTTAAGCAATTAGACAGAAAAAGATCACCTAATTAACAGCTAAAAACTCTTTCCAACCATTTTTGCTGTACTGAAATGCATATTTGTAAGCAATGTGTGAAACCCATTACATATATAAATTTGTAGTATTAACAATAAACTCTGGTCTATTGTCTTTACTTATGGGCATCTGGATGTTTCCAGCTTATGACCATTGTGAATAATGGAGCTATGACCATCTCTATATAGAGTCCTTTTTCTTTCTTTGGAATCCTTTCTTTGAGGTATATACTCCAAAGTTAAGTAACTGGTCCTTATTTTCTGTTGCTCCACATCTTACTGCTCTCCTGGAAGTCTGAGGCAGTTTACAGAGCACAACCGTTTCTCACAACTCTACCAATAATTTATATTATCATTATCATTTTTATGTACTAATAGAAGCTTATTGCCACTCTAGGCTGTTCTCTTTGTTTGTATTTTTAATTGCTGCAGAGGGTATACATTATTCTTTAACCAAAAGCAGCTTAATTTTTGTGAAAACATATTATGATGTAAGTTTATACTTGGTATGTTGTAGGTATTCATTAAATAGTTGTTAAATGAATGAGTGTATTAAAATCACACATAGTCAAAAAAGACAAATACTGCATGATTCCACTTATATGAGGTTCCTAGAGTAGTCAAATTCATAGAGACAAAAAGTAGAATGGTGGTTGCCAGGGCTGGGGAGCGGGGGCAATGGGGAGTTGTTGTTTAATGGGAACAGAGTTTCAGTCTTACAGGATGAAAAGAATTCTGGAGATTGGTTGCACAACAATGTGAATGCACTTAATTAAACTGTACTTAAACTGTACACTTAAAAATGATTACGATGGCAAATTTTATGTTATATATGTATTTTACATATATATATATATATATTTTAACCCAGTGGTCATTTGGCATATATTGTCAGTAGAAGAGGGGCTGCAATATGTAGTCATGCGTGTTAAATGAAGTTTCACGTGGAGACTTTCTAGATTAAAATGACAGTGTGCATTTTTGCAGGCAGAGATGTGTGATAGTAATATCATTACATAGCAAATAGAGTAAGCAACATCATAGATTAGATAATATTATGTGAACATCAATATTAGCAATAAAGTGCTCAACCTTTAAAAAATCGTGCATCTAATTAATCTGTGAATGAAATAGGCAGAGCTTAGGGAATCTTAGAGACATCCACTTGCACTTTTCACCTTAAAGATGAGGTGCTGAAACTAAGAGAGGCTGTGTGATTTTCCCACTTCGAGAGCAGCCACATCTGTCCCTTTTATAATGCGCTCCAGCCAAATCCTCTTTCTGTCTCATTGGCCAGAATGGATCACATGGCCTGCCCTGACTGCACCAGAGGCTGCTGGGAAAGCAGGGAATAGACTAAGTTAGATACATTGCCACCCCAAATAAATTCATATTCCCTTAACAAAGTAAGAAAAGGAGAATGGGTATTGAGTAGGCAATCAGCAGCATCTGTTACCCTCCCATTCATGTTTTTGATCTCTTTTGGTTTTTGTTTGGGGTGTTACAGGCTGGAACCAATGGCTATATGGCTCCTGAAATCCTGATGGAAAAAGTAAGCTATTCCTATCCTGTGGACTGGTTTGCAATGGGATGCAGTATTTATGAAATGGTTGCTGGACGAACACCGTTCAAAGATTACAAGGAAAAAGTCAGTAAAGAGGATTTAAAGCAAAGAACCCTGAAAGAGGAGGTCGCATTCCAACATGATAACTTCACAGAGGAAGCAAAAGATATCTGCCGACTCTTCTTGGCTAAGAAACCAGAGCAACGCTTAGGAAGCAGGTAAGCTTCTGGATAACGGAGGTGATTGGTGATGTTAGCATTGTCCACAGGGATTGGGAAAACACTTTGAGTCAGTGACAAAGCCTTGGGATTGAGTAGTAGTATTATTTTCCTATTATTATTTGCATGTTATATGGTTTGGTATTTCCAGTGCTTTCAAACACTATGAGCACTTGATATGGAAAATCCTCCAGGATACATTTTAAAACGAAATACTGAGGCGCAAAACAGCATTCATAAAAAAGAAGAAAAAGAAGATACAATTCAAATAGTTGCATAGAATATTTCCAGCAGAGTATACAAGGCGTATATAGGATTAGCTGCCTCTAATAAAGGGAAATTGGGAGCTAGTGACAGGAATGCAAAGGAGGATTTTCACTAGAGAACCTTAGTATCTTTTGAATTTTGAACATGTTGAATAAATTACGTACTCGACAATGAATAAAATTAAAACTTAAAATAAAAACCATCAGTACTGATAGTCATAGCTCTGGAAAATTCTGCCTCTTTTAAACGTCTCTGTAAAATATCAGTCAGCAGATATTTAGAAAGTACATATGGTGCTGTCAGCTATGTTAAGTATGGTTGAAATTCGTTTTGAGGAAAGTCAAGTTTTATTGCTTACAATGGATTAATAAGATCAAGATATTTTAGAAGAAAAAAATAAGTGAAAGATGACCTGTGAAAAGATCTTTGGCTGTGGGTGACTGTGTCACGGAAGAAAACCAAGGGTTTTAGAGTCACAGATTAGAATCACATCCCAGCTCTGCTATGTACTGGTCATTTTACCTCAAGCAACTGAATTACTTTTTCTGAGTCTCAATATCCTCATATATAAAATGCGGGGGCAGGAAGGGGTGATGGTTAATTTTATGTGTCAACTTGACTAGGCCACAGTACTCAGATATTTGATCAAACATTCTAGATGTTTCTGTACTGGTGCTTTTTAGGTGAGATTAATGTATAAATGAGTAGGCTTTGAGTAAAGCAGGTTATTCTTCATAATGTGGATGGGCTTCATCCAGTCAGTTGAAGGCCTTGGTAGAAAAAGACTGGCCACCCTGGGTGAAGAGGGAATTCTCCAGCAAACCGCCTTTGGACTTGAACTGCAACTCTTCCCTGGGTCTCCAGCCTTACAGCCTACCTTGCAGATTTGGACATGCCAAGCCTCCAGAATCGCATGAGGCAATTCCTTAAAATAAACCTCTCCCTCTCTCTCCCTCTCTCTCCCTCTCCCCCTCTCTCTCTCTCTCATATACGTACACAGATATTGTCAGGGAGGAGAAATTTTCCTTCTACCTCCTTATGTTTAGGGATGGAGGCCTGCAAATTGAAGTGACAAAAGACACATTAGCAAGAAAAAAAAGACAGATTTTTAATTCATATACATACACAGGAGTTCACAGAAAAATGCGACCAGGAGTTGGTTAGAATTGGGGCTTATATACCACTTTAATAGGGGAGCGGGGGGAGGGCACTTACAGGAAAACAAATGACTTCTCAGAAATGGTGCAGGGAAGGGCCCTCACAGGAGAACAAATGACTTTTAGGAAAGATAAATGGGCCCTCAGGAGAGTAGATGGGAAAATATGATAGTTTTGTCACAATGTCTATTTGGGCGTGGTGCTGATTTCTGTCGCTGGTGATAAGAGTCAGTCTTCCCTGGTTCCAAACCTCTCAACTCGGTGAAACTCCCAGGGGGAGGATTTATGAATTGAGTTCTTCGGGGAAGCTCTGCTTTTAGGCAGATAAGGGGAGTTCAAAACCTGCGTCTGTTGATGCTCAAATGCCTTCAGCTCAAAATAATATTTATGCCACCGTGGTACAGCCTGGAGCCCTTCAACATCCTGTGGTCCTGTTTCTCCAGGGAGCCCTGACTAATTCAGTGGGATATTTTGAGGTTTAGATGTAACGTATGTAAGGTTAAATATAATGTGTGTTAGGAATCATTGAATAAATGATAGCAAATATTATTACTTTGTTTTAAGGGAGATAGATAATATTTTGACTAAACTATGAGCTTGAATGTCTTGAATTACTTGAATTGAATTTTCAGAATCTAAAAATCTATACAAACATGAAAGCTACAACCAGAGAGTAAGATGACTGGTTTTCAATATGACACTAGAACTGAGCCACCAAATGACTCTGAATCTTCCAAGCAGTTGCCAGTGAAGGATCTAGAACAGGGCTACCTTAGCTCAAAATGTTCGAGTATGGAAGCAAGCTTTTAAGTTTTGACCTGATTTTTTAAAATAGTGAATCAAAGTCCACTTGTAATAACTTTCCAAGCATGACAGATAACCAAACTAACAATGAGTATTTTGAAATTAGCTGGAACTCTACATTATGTGAAGTAAAATGTGAAACTGATTTTCCTGTGTAGATTCCAACGTTGCTGTGTTAGTATGGTCAGAATAGGTCATGTTATGATAACAAGCAAATCCCAAAGTCTCATTGGCTTAAAGCAAAAGGATTATATCTCATTCACACAAAATCCGTTATGGCTCCAGCAGCTCTCCAAGTTCTCTCTCTTCTGAGCAGTGACTCAGAGATCTGGGCTGCTTCCCTCTTACGGCTCCATTGGCTTCCAGCTGCTGTGGCAAGAGAAGAGAGACCTCAGAGAACTAGGGAGCTCTGTATTACCTCAGCCAGGAAGTGACCCACTTCCCACATCACTCCACACACACTTCTGTTGTCCAGAATGAGTCCTTCGGCCCTGCCCAGGGTTGAGGGGGCTGGCTGGTGACATCCTCTGTGTGCCCAGGAAGGAGAGGAGAACCAGCTCTGGTACCACTGACCATCTTACCGACCTGGTTATCAAGGGCAGGGAGCATCAGAGAGAAAACCAACAGTGACAGAGGCAGTGGGGGAAGTGAACAGCCTCCTTAGATAACTTCCCTGAAGGGGACACCACCCACTTGGTGCGTTTGATTGAAAATCTATTTCAATACTTTGTAAGCACACTTTGGGTCTGTCAAATGAAATACTGACGAACTTCTTCAGGAAAATGCCACCTTAAGGCACTGGATCATTGCTTGAAGCCGCTCCATCAAGCAGAACCTTTTTATAAAGCATCTGTTGTTGTGACTGTTTTGAATAAAACTGTTTACAACATTAAAGAAAAGGCATATAAAAAACAGCTGTTCAGTGAAAGAGAAAACCTTCCAAGGTTTTCATTTCAGCTCTTTGTATTTTTAAAAACTTCATTCAAATAAGATAACGTTTGATTAATGTATCGGGTGTCCTCCAAAGCCGAACAAATAACTAAACAGGACTTTACATAGCAGAGGTCAACTGCCACTCCCCCCCCCACCGCCACCGCCCCCCCACAGCTCCCTACCCCGCCCCTTGCATTTACAAGCATTTGAAATAAGTTAAAACCCTTCTCCTTCTTTTGACCTCACTGAAGAGGATTTCCTCCTTTGCCCTTGTGGGTCTGTGAGTTAATTTTGCGGAGCAGCCAAAAGCTTTTCTGAGCATCTCACAGGGGCTCCAGATAGGGTCAACTATGGTGTTTTCTAATAAAATAAAAGATGAAGACCACTTAAGTGTTTTTGCCGGTTTTATTCTGATCAGTCAACGCAGCAGAACAAAAGCAAATGAACCATAAATGTCTCTGACTTAAGTGCTTCTCTGACACGCAATTTCAAGCCAATACCCACTATTCTTGGCCAACCAAATGCCACGTTGTGGTCTTCATGAATGGGTAGGTGGTATCTTTTCTTCATGAACTGTTATAAGAAATTCCGTTATAACCTCTGTGTAGGATTCAGTGACACAAGAGCCTCTGTTAATGCTCGGAAATGCATTCCACTCCAAGCAGGAGAAAACTTCCTGCAGCTGCCTATTTGGCTCTTACAAAAGAGGCTGCCTCCGTCGATAGCCATTTGTCCAAAGTGCACTGCACGATTATGGCCCAAAGAGCCCTGCTAGGGAGAGATTCGAGAGTAAAATACTCTTCGTGCTATTTGTAATTACAGAGCTGAGGTGAGAGTCATTAGCGTAAAAGATCTAAGTGATCACCTCTGCGGTGGCCCGGACACAAGAGTAAAAGGAATGGAGGTTGGAAAGCCTAGTCTTTTGTTGTTAGCATCAGCAGCCGCAGACATTTATTGGAAAAGGGCGTAAGGCATGGGTCCTGCCCTCCAGGAACTTCTCATTGGGGGTATTGGGAACACAAAGAAAACCTCAGGGTGGCCCATGGTTCCCTTGTCCTTTGTAACTAGTTGCAAAAGGCTGTAGTCGGCCATCTCTGATGGACAAGCCAAGGCCATTCGGGCCTGGTTGCTTGAGATGTTGCTTGAGACGTTCCTGCTGAAGTAAAGACTGGCCTGGCAAGTTTCCCGAGGTTCCCAAGCCCCTGGGCACTCTCCCTTGTTACAGCTACTCAGACTGAATTGAAGGCGCCCTCTTGACCTCTGGGACAGAGTGTGCATGCCTGCCTGCAGCTATCCAGCTGGTTCAAGCTCCTTCCTTGTGGCACCTGGTCCCATTCCAGCTTGTTTGTTCTCTTTGAGATACATAGGCCCAGGGTTTATTCTTGATTCTGCTTGGTTGGAATTCTAGCTCTATCCTTGTTCTGCCATGTTTAAAATCTATCTGATACCTTGAAAATGATGAATGTTGCTGGGTACATAATACCTCAATAAACCAAACTTCAAAAATCCATCCATGAAGCTTCAATTTATCTCAGTAACCCTCCCTCAAGGCTCTTACTCTGCGTAACATAAACGACACAGACATTGGTCAGCAGGTTCTAATAGATGGCAGCCTTGCATTTTTCCTTTACTGATGGAGATCTGGTGGCTTTTGGAAGAAAAGAGACACTTTGTAGTATCTCACGATGCAACTCTCTCCATACCTGTCTTTTCAGTTGGGTCGTAATGGGAAAAGTCCAAGGAGTCCTGGATGGGTCTTTCTGCATGGGCGTAGATCTAAATCACAGAACAGGGCCGGCCCGGTGGCGCAGCAGTTAAGTTCGCACGTTCTGCTTCGGCAGCCTGGGGTTCGCCGATTCGGATCCCGGGTGCGGACATGGCACCACTTGGCAAAAGCCATGCTGTGGTAGGTGTCCCACATAGAAAGTAGAGGAAGATGGGCATGGATGTTAGCTCGGGGCCACTCTTCCTCAGCAAAAAGAGGAGGATTGGCAGCAGTTAGCTCAGGGCTAATCTTCCTCAAAAAATAAATAAATAAATAAAAAATAAATCACAGGACACCACCAGGGAATTAGCCGAATGTCAGATGCCTCCAAGTGAATTTTTTTCCATAATAACACTTAATTATAATTTTTCCTTTGAAAACTTCACCTGTATTTTCTGGCTTTCTCAGATGCACAGCCATTTATAAATGCAGAAGCAAGTAAAGAGGTTAAAAAGAAGTTTAAAATACAATTAAAAGACAGGGCTGTTGTGATGGTTAAATGTGATAACATAAATGAAGAGCTTAATGTTGTGTTAGCTGAGAGTAAGCTCTGAATAAATGTTAGTTCTTCTCATTGTTCTTATTCGGAATGTCATTGTTGTGTTTGGAGTCTGGTCACCTTGTTGGGCAAAGTCTGCTGTGGTTATCATCTTACATGGCGGGGACTCTCTGAAGGAGATGTATCAGGGAAGTCTTCAGTCCTTTTCAGAAAGCTTTTTGGTAACTGGAATGGAAAATGTGAAAGGAAAGACCACGAATGTGATTAATTTTTATTACGGTTGATTTATGACAGAAACTGACTCCTTCCAAAAGGAAGACATTTCGTAGTCAGACCAGCATATCTATTCATGTAAAAGAAAAAGAAAAAAATCATTTGAATCTGGTGCCACAAAACAGCCCCCTTTTTATTTCTTTAAAACCTGGGCTTAAGAGGAAGCAAGAGAAGTGCATGGTGGCCACCCTTGCTATGGTCCCCAAAGATCCTCACCTCTTGGCATCCACACCCTCATGTAATCCCTTTGTCTTAAGGATGAGCTGGACTTGTTGACTTGCTTCTAACAAATAGAATACGGCAGAAGCAGTGAGATGTCATTTCCAGTGTTACGTAATAAAAATACTGTGCTTTCCATCTTGGGCTCTCTTCCTCTCCCTCTCTCTCGTCATTTGCTCTGGGGAAAGCCAGGTGCAACAAGGCAGCCCTGTGGAGAGGCTCACGTGGTGAGGGATGGAGGCTTGCAGTAACCACAAGTGAGCTTGGAAGAAGATTCCCTCCCCCTCAACACAAAGCTTCAGCGGAGATCACAGCTCTGGCCAACAGCTTTACAGCAACCTCATGAGATACCTTGAGCCAGAGGCACCCAGTAAAGCGTGTCGAGATTCCTGATCCACAGAAACTGTGAGATAATAAATGTTTGTTGTTTTAGCCACTAAATGTTAGAGCAATTTGTTACATAGCAATAGATAACTTATATAAGAGGTTACAAAGTTGGGAACATACACTTTTCCCCTTATTCTAAGGTAAATATCAGAATAATTTCTAGCATAAGGAAGGAGGGCTTGAGAACAAATAACTATAGTCTTGAGCACTGAATGTGTGCTTATTCATGCCACTAAAAATTACTAATGGATTTTTTTTTTTAAGTCTTTAAAGACTATGGTGGGGGCCAGCCTGGTGGCATAGTGGTTAAGTTCACACGCTCTGCTTCAGCAGCCCAGGGTTTGCAGGTTTGACTCCCAGGTGCGGACCTACAGACTGCTCATCAAGCTATGCTATGGTGGCATCCCACAAACAAAATAGAGGAAGATTGGCACAGATGTTAGCTCAGTGACAATCTTCTTCAAGCAAAAAGAGGAAGATTGGCAACAGATGTCAGCTCAGGGCCAATCTTCCTCACCCAAAAAAAAAGAGACTATTATGGCAATCAGAGGAGGGGGGTGGGACTCCTAAAAACCATGTCATATGAAGAGTGAGGAGATATGAGTGCTAGCTTTTAAAATGTGAATGGTGGTCATGTGGGAAGAGACATGCTTCACTTGTTCTGTGTGACCCTGAAGGACAGAGCAAGAGTCAATGACTGGAAGGTGCAGGCAAGCAGATTCTGGCCCCACTGAATTTTCCAGATGTTTCCATGAAACACCAAGAATAAAAGTCATGTCAATCACTTGACTCTTTGAAAATTACATCTGCCTGTGAAGGCTGTCGACAAACAGTGAAATGCTACTGTCTGTGTATGGTGGAATTGTGGGGAATTTTTAAAGTTATTACTTTTCAAAATTATTCTTTATGTTATATTGTCTTTGCAATTAAATGAAATGTATTATAGGAAAAGGACGCTACACACTTTGTATTGTTAGAACATTTCCTATTTGGGTTTGCTATTGTGTCTCAGGCTGACCATCTGCTTTCTTCACAGAGAAAAGTCCGATGATCCTAGGAAACACCCTTTCTTCAAAACCATCAACTTTCCTCGCCTGGAAGCCGGCCTAGTTGAACCCCCATTTGTGCCAGACCCTTCAGTGGTTTATGCCAAAGACATCGATGAAATTGATGATTTCTCTGAGGTTCGGGGGGTCGAATTTGATGACAAAGATAAGACATTCTTCCAAAGATTTGCAACAGGTGCTGTCCCCATAGCATGGCAGGAGGAGATTATAGAAACGGGACTGTTTGAAGAATTGAACGACCCCAACAGGCCCGCATGTTGTCAGGAGGGCAATTCATCCAAGTCTGGTGTGTGTTTGTTATTATAAATTGTTCTCTCTATCAGATGGGCAACAGGAGTCTCAGCTGACATAATCTTTGACTGTTCCTAAGACATGAAAATCTGTTGAGTGAGGACTGATCAATCAGGAGGGGCATTTCAACCTGGAGCAGTTCAAAGGACAGGCGAGCTCACTGGGAAATGCTTTCTCTCCCTTCCTCCCTCTTTCTTTTCTTTCTTTCTTTTTCTTCCTTCCTTCCTTCCCTCTTTCTTTCTTTCTCTCTTTCTTTCTGACTAAAGTCTCAGTTTCACTGAGGGCTGGGGAAAGGAACACTCAGGGTTGTTTTGATAAACTAAAAGCATGAGGCCTCCACCATCATGTCTCTGAAAATTACGCAAAGTCCTAGGAACAGAGAATGGAACTTTGTGGTGTACTCAGAAAATGACCATTTGCAATTCTTAGTAAATAATCGTGTTAGTTTTTCTTTGTTTATATCCCTTCTTCCCTTCATCTTTCATTATTTCTTCTGCTTCTGTACTTATAAAAAGAATTTTGAAGCTGGAGATAAATGTTCCTGATATCCTCCCCCTAAAAAGGAGTGAATTGTAATATTTTGGCAATATTTCAGATAACAGAATAATTTTTAATGTAATGAAAGTCTGTTTTTCATTTTTTTGAAATAATTTACATTATAATGTGAAAGCGTTTTAAATGTAAATATACATGAGGTCTGCAAATTAGAGTATTCCATAAGTTCAGTCCTTTAAGTAATATGTTACAAGTTTCTTACAACAGCAATTCCCTATGCCATCAGTTCCCAAACTTTGCTGGACGTTGAAATCACCTAAGGATCTTTAAAAAAATACTAATGTGTGACTCCCACCCCCAGATTTTTTTTAAAGATTTTATTTTCTTTTTTCCTTTTTCTCCCCAAAGCCCCCCGGTACATAGTTGTGTATTTTTTTTAGTTGTGGGTCTTTCTAGTTGTGGCATGTGGGATGTCGCCTCAGCACGGCCTGATGAGGAGTGCCATGTCCTCGCCCGGGATCCAAACCGGCAAAACCCTGGGCCACCAAAGCGGAGCCCGCGAACTTAACCACTGGGCCTCAGGGCCGGCCAGCCCCCTCCCACTCCCAGATTTAATTGGTCTTGTGCACAGCCTGGGCATCTCGAGTTTCAAGAGCTCTCGGGTGATTCTCGTGTTCAGAAAAATTTGGGAACCACAGCCACGTAGATTTAAAGGTGATTGCCTATGGCTCCAATTGTACATTTTGACAGCAACTTTTCATATACCCAAAAAACATGTAATTTTGGCAATTTCAGTGTAAATGAAACTGAAGATAATCTGTATTCATCTTGTACATTTTCTTGCCTTTGCACACTTTAGTTCCTCATATATATCTTGAGAGGTAGATCTCTGGGCTGTTTCAAGACCTGAGGGAGAAATACGGGGTTAGAAACTAATTTGAACAAACGGTGACCTCATTTAAAGTGGGTGCCCAGCCAGCACTTTATTGTAGAATTAGCACATCTCAAAAGCACAGCCGAAGTGAGAATTCTAAGGCTATAAAAGATATTTTGGACACAAATATAAACCTGGGGTGATTATATTAAAATAATATATATATGTATGTATGTATGCATAAGGAAATCTCACTTGTCCCAGTGGTGAGAATCCTGACTGAAGTTGTTTTAAAAGTTTTGTCCCTTGAGCAAGGGATCCAAGAGTTGTAAAAATAGTAAGCAAAAATATTTTGGTTTACTGAATCTAGCTAATAGTAATCCTCAACTACAAGACGGCGTTAACCGTATCTGGACTGAGTAGGAAGAAATCCTCTTGGAGCTGAGTCTTGGGGGCTGCACATTCCACTCACCCTCCTGCTCCTCCATCCTCAGCGAGCTCCCTGATGCTCCGCCTCCCACCCTGGAGACACTGCCGAGTCCTGAGTCACCGAGGCAGGAGACAGGTGTGTCCAGCAGATTGTTTTTTCCTAAGGCAAGAAAGTGGATTAAAATTTGTTAAATTTATAACAAGTCTACTTTAACAAAAAACTAACAGTTAACAGAAATCCAATTAGCCAGAGCATTCCAAGAGTAGAGGTCTCAGAATTTAGCTTTACACACATTAGACGTTTAAAAGTAATGTCTTATTAACTTGGTTCCTTCATGTGAGTATCTACTGCTTTCAATAGCTTGAAATACAAATCTGTGTTTTCATTTCTTAGAACTAAGTCAGGAAAATAACTGAATGAGATACCTATGTTCACACAATCATCAAGTAAGCATGTGCTGAGCTCTAACGATACCCTGAGCCCATACTGGGAAGTATCGGGGACGCCGTAGAGAAATAAGACAAACCACCTAAGAAAAGCCGTGTGGTGTGGTGTGTGCAGAAGGCAGACTCCTGTTGTTATTATCCACATTTTAAATGAGGAAACTGAGGCTCATAGAGGTTTTGGAGCCTGTCCAAGTTCAGAAAGCTTTGCAGGGTTGTTGTGAAGACTAGAAATAACGTGTATGAAGCATCTAGTACGTGACATGTAGGGGCATAATAAATTCAAGACCGTGGTCAGTAAGTAGCAGCAAGTCCATCAATTCTAAGTCAGGGCACAAAACTATTAAGGGCTGATCCCAGCCATGTTAATTAAAAGTTCCAGAGGAGGTGAGAGAAGGAAGAGGGCTAGTCCCAGGGAGTGGCTGAGAAGGAAGGTTTTCATGCACAATGAAAGAAAAATCTGATTAGAATAAGTGGAGTTGTTGGGATGCATCCTAGGCTTCATCCTCCTCATATGCCAGGTGGGAGACCCACCTGGGCCAAGTCAGAGTGAGGGACGCTCATCTGGACAAGGGCAGGGCACAGTGAGGGACAGAGCTGATTGGGGAGGTTAAAGGTTGGCAAGAAATAAGCAAATGCAAATGGTTGTAGATGGGATTCAAGGAAAGACTTAAATAAGATGCAACCAGATGTCTCATCAAAAGAAGAAAGTGTGTTTTGAAAAGGGATGATGCTGACTTATTTTTAAAAAGTTAAAATGAGCTTATGTTTTTATAGGAAAATTCTAAAAACGTAATGAGACATCAGGAGAAACAAAAACATCTATGAGTGAAATATTCAGACAAAGAAGAACTCAGGAAAAGTCATGAGGAAGATTAGCCCCGAGCTAACTGCTGCCAATCCTCCTCTTTTTGCTGAGGAAGACTGGCCCTGAGCTCACATCCATGCCCATCTTCCTCTACTTTCCATGTGGGACACCTACCACAGCATGGCTTGGCCAAGTGGTGCCATGTCTGCACCCAGGATTCGAACCTGTGAACTCCGGGCCGCCAAAGTGGAACGTGTGCACTTAACCGCTGCACCACCGGCCGGGCCAGGGAGAAGTCATTTTTATTCTTCCTATTTGTCAGGGATTATTTGAAATGTTTGTTTCCTAAAGGAGATGGATTTGATACACTGCTTGAAGGGATTTAGAACTGCAAAGCAGAAGGTATGGATGGTGTTTTCATAGGAAATAGTGAATTACTGATTTTAAGATTGCCAGCCACACAGAGTTAAAAAATATTCTCGTTTATTTTGAATATCAAATTTAAGATGTTTCTCATTGAGGTGACCAGGCATGAATGTGAAATAATTCAATAATTTAAACTTTGCTTCTTAAGAATGGCGTTTCAGGGACTGGCCCCGTGGCCCAGTGGTTGAGTTTGCACGCTCCACTTCCTCAGCCCGGCGTTTTGCTGGTTCGGATCCTGGGTGCAGACATGGCACCACTCATCAAGCCACGCTGAGGCAGTGTCCCACATAGTACAGCCAGAGGCTCTCACAACTAGAATATACAACTATATACCAGGGGGCTTTGGGGAGAACAAGGAAAAAGAAAAAAAAAAAAAAAGAAGATTGGCAACAGATGTTAGCTCAGGTGCCAATCTTTAAAAAAAAAGAATGGCATTTCATATCATAAGAATCTACCAGATCAACTTTTAAAGATCATTATATTGAATGTATCATTAGGGCAGTTTATTAATAAGACAACTTACTTAAATTGTTTGGACAATAAAAGATGATGAAAACCAATTAATGAAGATACATAACTCTTGCTTCTTAAATGGTTGTTCTTGGCAGTTATAAGCCTCAAAAAAGAAAAAAAATGATACAAGGAAAAAAATAGATGCATGAAATATTTTTTTGCCTGGAAGACTTCTTTGACATCAGCTTCAAAAGAATCTTTTCAGACACCATAACCCCTCACATGAGGGAAACAATAGAAAGAATAAACAAATGAGACTTCATCAGACTAAAGAACTTCTTCAAGGCAAGGGAAAACAGGATTGAAACAAAAAAACAGCCCACTAATTGGGAAAAAATATTCACAAGTTATTTATCTGACAAAGGGTTAATCTCCATAATATACAAAGAACTCACACAACTCAACAATAAAAAATCAAACAACCCAATTACAAAATGGGCAGGGGACATGAACAGACATTTTTCCAAAGAAGATATATGGATGGCCAATAGACACATGAAAAGATGCTCATCATCACTAATCATTAGGGAAATGCAAATCAAAACTACACTAAGATATCACCTTACACCTGTTAGAATGGCAAAAATATCCAAAACCAACAGTGACAAATGTTGGAGAGGCTGTGGAGAAAAGGGAACCCTCATACACTGTTGGTGGGAATGCAAACTGGTGCAGCCACCATGGAAAACAGTATGGAGATTCCTCAAAAAGTTAAGAATAGAAATACCTTATGACCCAGCCATCCCACTACTGGGTATCTATCCAAAGAACCTGAAATCAGCAATTCCAAAAGTTCCATGCACCCCTATGTTCATCGCAGCATTATTCACAATAGCCAAGTCATGGAACCAACCTAAGAGCCCATCAACTGATGATTGGATAAAGAAGATGTGGTATATATATACAATAGAATACTACTCAGCCATAAAAAAGGACAAAGTTGTCCCATTCACAACAACATGGATACACCTTGAGGGTATTATGTTGAGTGAAATAAGCCAGACAGAGAAAGACGAACTCTGTATGACTCCACTCATAGGTGGTAGTTAACATATGGACAAAGAGAAGTGATCGGTGGTTACCAGGGGAAAGGGGGGTGGGGGGAGGGCACTAGGGGTGAAGTGGTGTACCTACAACATGACTAATAATGATGCACAACTGTAATTTCACAAGGATGTTAACTTTCATAACCTTAATAAAAAAAAAAAAAAGAAAAGATTTCTTGAAATTTCTTGGATGATCTAGGAAAAATCATTGCAGCTACTTAGATTTAGTTGTTCTTTCAATGAATATTGGTGCCTGCCCTGTGCCAGGCTCCATTTTGGTTGTGGGTGATACGCTGGGTTTTATCCGTTTAGGATTTTCAGATTGGAAAGTGCTTTTATTCCCCTGTGGATCAGTAAATCTTTATCTTTCTCTCAGTGGAGATGAATTTTATTCTTCCCATTTTTTCCCCCAAGTTTTCTGCATTGAACACATCTTTCTTTCAAAGATCAGAAAAAAAGTATATTATTTAAAGCAGGGCAAGAAGCATCATAATTGAACCTGGGTTTGTGGCGCATGCCCATGCTGGCTCTGGCAGTAACCTGCCCCCGAGGACTCTCCTCTCAGGCCAAGGGCATCAGCCTGGGAACTGCAAGTAAGGCCAGGACTCCTGGTCCCAGCCAGCGGAATCTCCCTGGAGAGAGCCAGCAGCTGGTGCCTAAGGTTGGGCCAGATTAGTGGTTCCACAATCCAGACCAAGAACTGTGGCTGGTCAGGGGCTAAGTATCTACCAAACCTCAGAGAAATGAAAGAAAGAGGGACAATGCAGCAAGTGTTTCATGTGCTATTCACTTTAAAATATCTTCTTTTGAGCCAGCCCTGATGGCCTAGCGGTTAAAG